ACAACCAACACTGCAAATTGCAGCAGCCCAAGCCAATCCAGATCTGCCACCACTTAACCACACTCTCCTTATTTTATGGAGACTAAAGGAGCGACTGTTGTAACACATCATTCAGCAAGTGAGGAAGGTAAGAGGTACTTTGAGTAAGACAGATTTTTGGTTCTGCAGAAACTATAAATCTCACCTAAAGAAACCATTCAGATCAACTGGATCAGAGACCATAGGCTTGTGTTTCAAATTTACACACAGTACCAATTTTCTGAACTCTATTTCTGGACTGTAACTCAAACCACAAAACAAAGGTAAGAAAAATTGCAAAATAGAACCCTGACAAAACCTACTGCCATCAAGTCAATTCTGACTCACAACAACCCTACAGGACAGAGTAGAACTGCCCCCCCCCCCCCCCCAGGGCTTCCAAGGCTGCAAATCTTTACAGAAGCAAACTGCCTCATCTTTCTCCCTGGGAGCGGCTGGTAGGTCAAACTGTCGATCTTTTGGTTAGCAGCTGAATGCTTTAACCACTGCTCCACCAGAAAGCCCTAGAACACTGAAAGTCTGCTGAAATAACCTTAAGCAAGATGGAGTCCTCTCTACAGACACTCCAGTATTCCCATGAAACAAGTGTCCACTGACCGATAAATCTACACCTGTTTTAGTGATAGATGGTCAGAGTTGCTACTATTTGTTTTTGGCAAACCCATAAGGTCTGGAAGGGAGGGTGTTAAGAAATATTAAGATTTGGCTCCAATTTCTTAATAGCCAGGTTGTATAACACTAAACGCAAATGCTTTATCTTCATTACCCTGTCCTCACACGATAAGCTCCAGCCACAATGAATTATTTTACGTTTACTAAATGTACATGTTCTGTTTCACTTTCCACTCTTTCTGTAATCTTTTCTTTCCCTGGAAGTGTATTCTCTTTACCCTTTTCCTGGCTAATTCTTACTTACTCTTCAGGTTTCAAGTTACATATCATTTTCTCCGAGATACCTTTACTAACCCAAGTGGTCATATCATCCTGCACTTCATTTCTTATAGCACTTATTTTATATGGCTAACTGTCTGTTACTGCTCTACATTACTGGAAAGTTCACGTTCTCCAAGAAGCAAACACCATGATAGGATTAGATATGCAAGAGATTTATTGAGGGAAATGCTTATGGAGAATAACATGGAGGAATAAGGTAGGAAGATTCTCAGTCTGCAGCACAGTTCTAAGAAAATTTCAGCAAGACCTATGGGGTGTCTTCAAACCAAAGTTACCAATTAGGGGACTTTCCTGTCTTGCAGGAATGGACCTACCTACACTAGTACCTCTCCTGCTCAATCACTGTCTAGGAGCAGCCCAGAGAAGCACAGCCTAAGGGCAAATGCTGGGGTGGTTCCAGAGGTTGGGACTGTCAGTCAATCACACTTCCCGAAGCAGATACAGAAGCTGATTTTCATAGCTGCCGCAATTACCCATCAGCTTGTAATGTGGCTAGGTACCCTGATTCACTTTGTCACCATTCTATACCCAGTGAGTAGAACCTAAAAGACATTCAATAAATATTTGTGATTTTTGACACGCAGGTGTCAATATTAAATCAGTAAAACAAGAATAGCAATAAATAAGCCTTTAAAAATATACCCAAACATCTTCAAATCCTTAAATCCCACAGGACAGGCAGAATAGATAAGTGTTATCAGAGAGATCAAATGACCCACTGTTACTTGATCTTTAGGGCTCCTTACATTCAATCACTCTCTAAAATGAGAATATTTGAAAGAATAGATCATTTCTAGGATTCCTTCCAGCTCTCAAATTTCAAGAGCCCAAACTCACTGATGTTGAGTTTATTCCAATTCATAGTGATCCTGTAGGACAGAGCAGAATGGCCCCACAGGGTTACCATGGCTGCAATCTTGGAATCGCTGATCTTTTGACTAGCAGGTGAGCACGTAACCACATTTATTTTTAAATCATATGGCTCTTTATGGGGTGTATACCACCACAATTAAAAAAAAAAAATCATGTCATTTTACAGCTTTTCTATTTCTACTCTAAATCTATCATCATTCAACACAAGTTTACATCTATCCCTCTTACTTAATAGTTCTGGGTCACCAACTTAGCTATACTAGCTGTATTACAGCTATGTGGCACAAAGAACATCAATCAATAAAGAGAAGGAATCATCAAATCAGATCCAAATTAACAAGGAAAACTTACTGCAACAAATTGTTGTTTTTGTTATAAAAAGTAGCACTTCAGCATATGTTTACAAAATGAACAATAGAAGAGAATTGTTAAAACATTTTGGATTTTGAAAAAATTAAAACTCACCATACACACCTGTAGAAGTAGTAGAACTGTTCATGGTAAAAGACCCGTTAATGATGCCAGAAGAAAGAAGCTCATCAGATCCCCGCTGAAAAGCAAAAGCAATGCTCAGTGAAAACAAACTTGGGATAATGGCCCATATTTACTACTAAAAAAACTCAAAACTAGTACATTCACCTGATTGTTACAATGTTTAAGGAAAAGTACTCAAGCATCACAAAACCTAACAGAAGTGAACTTTAGAGTAAAGAAAGATTCTGCTCAGTCCACATGATTGCCAGTTATCAAAAACGAACAAACCAACCGGAATGTCATCACAGATACGGAAGCGGAATCCTACAGCTTATTTGATCGACTTGAGTCCTCCAAGGGTTTTATGTCTGAAACACCAAAACCCTTACAACTTCTGTAGATATACTTATGCAAATAATTTTTGGAGCCTCTCTAAAAATTGACTTTTTAATACCTACGTATTTTTTAAAAAATATAACACAAAGGGACAATTTATTCCAATACTTTGTATTTGTAATCAGTGATATTTCATCCATTAATCCTAAAACTGGCCTTTAATGTGGGTACTATTAAACAACTACTGTTTAAGTAATGTGCTTTTATTTTTTTCCAGATAAGAGCTTTGACCTAATTCCAAATCTGAACTGTTAGTGCCTCAACTTTTCACTGTAACCATGAAATCTATTACCAAGGTTAAAGAGTTCATATTTAGGAAAGACAACATATAGCATATACAAAGTAAAAATCCAACATATTTCAAATAGTACTCTTTTTTAGCTTAGACAATTTTATAGAACAAATATTTTGGTCTATGGTATGAATTATATCTCAACATGAAAGAAACAAAAATCCTCATAACTGGACCAATAAACAACATCACGATAAATAAACGACTGAAATTGTCAAAGATTTCATTTTACTTGTATCCACAAGTGACACCCAGGGAAGCAGCAGTCAGGAAATCAAACACGGTATTCCAATGGGCAAATCTGCTGCAAAGACCTCTTTAAAGCGTTAAGGAATAAAGATGTCACTTTCAAGACTAAGGTGTGACCTGGCCCAAGCAAGGGTATTTTCAACTGTCTCATATGCATGTGAAAGCAGGACACCTATTAAGAAGACCAAGAAAGAGCTGATGCCTTTGAGTGGTGTTAGTGAAGAACACTGAAAATACCATGGACTGGCAGAAGAACAAACTAATCTGTCCTGGAAAAAGTGCAGCCGGAACGCTCTTGAGAAGTGAGAATGGCCAGACTTTTTCTCACCTACTTTGGTCATGTTGTCAGAAGGGACCAGTCCCTGCAGGAGGACATCATCCTTGGTAAAGTAGAGGATCAGCGAAAAAGGGGAAGGCCCTCAACAAGACAGATTGACAAAAGGGCGGCAACCATGGGCTCAACCACAGCAAGCAACGTGAGGATGGCATAGGACCGGGCAGTGTTGTGTCCTGTTGTATACAGGGTCCCTATGCGTTAGAGCCAACTCAAAGGCACCTGGCAACATCATGTTTGTGCCTGCAAATCTAGTTAATGTGATTTTTAAAACCACTTAGAAGTCACTTTAATTCTTTTCTAGACACGCAGGAGTATGCTAATATGTCAACTAAACAATATTAGGTGGACTCTTAATCACAATGTAAAAGACAAAACCATAAAGACTCTAGAAGATGTCTTCATAATCTTGGGGTAAGGAAAGACTTCTTAAACAAGAGAGAAAAAGCAAGACATGAACAGACACTTCACCAAAGAAGATATCCAGATGGCCAACAAACACATGAAGAAATGCTCAAGATCATCATCCATTAAACCAAACCAAACCAAACTCACTGCCATCGAGTCAGATCTGATTCATAGCGACCCCTCCTTGGGTTTCCGAGGTGGTATTACTACAAAGTAGATTGTCCAACCTTCCTTCCGAGGAGTGGCTGGTGGGTTTGAACCACCAGCCTTCTGGTTAGCAGTCAAGTGCCTTAGGCTCTACGCTAACAGAGCTCCTTCATAATCCATTAGAGAGATGCAAATCAAAACAACAATGAGCTATCATCTCACCCCAGCAGTAACAACAGCAAAGTTCAACAAGACAGAAAATAACAAATGCTGGTGAGGATGTGGAGTCTGGAAACCTCAATCACTGCTGGTGGGACTGTAAAATGACACAACCACTGTGGAAAATGGTATGGTGCTTCCTTAAGGAGCTGGAAATAGAAATACCATTTGACCCAGCAATATCACTACCAAACCAAAGCAACTCACTGCCAAGTCGATTTGACTCATAGCGACCCCTACTTGGGTTTCCGAGGCACTATCTCTATGGAAGTAGATTGCCCAATCTTCCTTCCGCAGAGTGGCTGGTAGGTTTGAACCACCAGCCTTCTGGTTAGCAGTCAAATGCCTTAGGCACTATGCCACTATACTAGGTATATCCTTAAAGATATATACCTAGTAGACATAATGCATAATGCAAATAGACATATGCATACTGACGGCCATCGCAGCACTATTCACAACAGCAAGGAGATGGAAACAAACTAAGTACCTACCCATCAGAAGATGAATGGATAACCAAATTATGGTACATACACACAGTGAAATAATACACAACACTAAAGAATAATGAAGAATCCATGAAACACCTCATAATGTGGATGAACTCGGAGGATATTATGCTGAGTGAAATAAGTCAAACACAGAAGGACAGATGTTCTATGAGTCCACTACTGTAAAAAGTCAAGGGAAGTTAACATATGGAAAGAAACTTTCTTTGTTCATTACCAACAATGCAAATGCAGGGGAGGGGATCACTATTCCAGAGTATCTGTACCTTCTCCATTTTCTATGACATAATTTCTCATCCCAATCCATACTCAGGTGACCTAAAAGTACCTTCTTCAGGAAGAGAATATCTCCCTGTCTAATTGATGCTGAGCAGTTTTGTGAAATGCTTTGTATGATACTGCAAATTAACCTGTTTACTCATTTGTAAAAGGAGGATAATGGTACCCAAAATCGTGAGTTGTTCTGAGGATTAATATTCCTAATACAAAACATAACAAGATAAATGCATGAAGTGGCTGGGTAGCTTCTATGCTTTCATATATGTGCTTATACTCAAAGTGAGGAGAGAAGGGAGGATCCCTACTGAATTGTCTCTTCTTTTCCTAATGGGTCTGGCAAAAAAAAAAGGATGAAGGAAGATGATGACAGGATTATGTAATTCAGCTGTGAGTGTTGATTATTAGCAGGATTGTGATTGTAAAAACTGGCTGTAAGTATGAAAGAGTGGACTAAAGGAGACACACTGATAGACTGGAGTACAGTGGCTGAACCTGAAGTTCCTTACAGATATGGCTATGCTGATACCTCATGAGGCTCGAAGCAAGGGAATAATTTTCTCTCGGTTAAATTTTATCAGAAAAGGTGACATGGAAACAACTTCTGGAGAACATGACCAGATCAGATGGATACCTGAAGCAGGCCCAAACAACTGGTACATAAGTAACTTCAACCTGAGAACTCTTTGTACTACTAAAGGACTAATTGTTAATAACTGCTTTGGAGTAGTAAAATGACTGGGAGGGGAGAGTTATCCTCCAAGTATAAAACAATCACGGCCTATTGTGTGATGCATCGCTTTTAAATATGGCCTTTCTCACCATGGTCTTGTTACTCCCACCAAATGACTGGGTAGGACTATGCAAATGAGGTACCTGTTGCGCACCAAAGGTATTGGACAGCTTGCTAATAATGTAAATAAAGTACATGGCATCCTTGTGGGGGTGGGACCATGCAAATAGGATGTATGGAACCCTAACGAAGGGATTGGTCAGTTTTGCCATCCTGCTAGGCTTAAAATGAGCCATCCCAGAGGTGAAAGGGGACCACTATCACCAAGAAGAAGAGGTGGAACTGGAGAGTGTCCTCTGGACTCGGGGTCTCTGCCACTGAGAACCTCCTAGAACCAGGAATGTGGTACAAGACAGTGAGAAGCAGCAGCAGAGAAGGGTGGCGGCAGAAGCGGTGACAGGAGAGCCAGGGGATCAGCACCACAAGACGCAATCGGCTTCCAGGCACACAGAATAAGGCACTTGCAGCAAGTAGTGTGCAGACCCGCTGCGCAAGAGAGAGCTGAGCGCCTCTGGGCAGGAGGCCTGCTAGAAAAATGAGATGTCTCTGGGCACTTATGAGCGGAGCTCAGAGCTTTGTAACAGCTCTGAGCAGGGCAGAGGCCAGGCAAAGGGGCCCAAGAGGCCCAAGGGGCAGCTGCGAGGGAGAGGACTTTCTGTGGACCCAGCTGAGAAGAGGTTGTCCTGATCAAAGAATTGTATCCCAAGTCCTTCCTAATCCTGAACTGTAGCCTGTTACTTCTCTAATAAACTCCACAACTGTGAAAACAGTCTGTGAATTCTGTGTGCTCATTGCAATGAATTAATGAACCCTCAGAGTAGAGCTGTGGGAGCTATGGTTGGTGTCAGAACTGGTATAAAGGTTGAAGGCTGGAGGTATGTCTGACCTTCACTTCATAGGACTCAGCCTTGATCTGTTGATCTTGATTCTTGTCCCTTGTGAAGTTAGAGGAGATCAGACACCCCGCCATGCCATTTTTACAAAAGGTCTCATTAATCAGGGGCAAATAAATACTAATGACTGATTATCCAGTCATTTTCAAAAACGATATATGCCAATTAATATGCATGCAGTATCATTAATATTAATTATAATCAACATTGGACAGCAATGTTCTAAAGGTGAAAGGTGAGACAGAAGACTTTCTAAAGTTTTAAGAGGAAATCAATCCCACCTCCTTTATTCTAACACAAAGAAAATTTCCTCCTCTCAGATAAGTTGATAAAGATTTGACTTTGATAAAATGTGATTAAGAATTGAAAGCAATAATATTAATTTTCTGTAACAAATTCTTAAAATACATACCCACTTCTATTAAGTAGAGTTGATGCTTCCTTTGTATAGGACTGTATAAGGAATTTATTGAAGCTTGTTAATGATTAACCTTTCAGAACGCGGAAGAAAAAAGGATTTATCTGCTTCTGCATTAGGATTTTTCCTGTGGAACACT